CAACATGGCCAAGCCACCAGGAATTGGACCGCAGGTTTTTTGTCTCACTCACATGCCAAGGGATATGGCTGAAAATTAACCAGGAATTGGACCGCAGGTGGTCCATGGTACATATTTTTGACCCACAGCCATATGGCCACGACCTATTTTGATGATCACCAGGCATAGAGGGTTTGACCCACAGCCATGTTCCTTTTGTTTCTTTGGTTCTGGTCCCTTTTTGGCTTCAACAAACGAATCTGGCACTACTGGAGCTGTTGTTCTTTTTTTCTCCCTGGGGGCTGAAGCAAATGGAAGTTTAGTACGTGGGTTTGTCTCAATGGATATTCGGAACCCCCGACATGGGTGGTGTCTTTTCAATGTTCCTTTAAAGCGATTGAACAAGGATACCCGCAACAAAAGGCGCACCCATCTTTCCATTTAAGTGTTTCGCGTCTGCTTATGTTTAGTGAGTGGCGGACAACAAGTCTTTTGTTTACACGGTATTGTTGGATCGGTCTGAATAAGATCAGTTCGCTATATATCGTGAACCTGAATCAACATATTGGGTACGTGTTGTCACTGAATATGTTTAGTTGGGACGGACGCAGTTGTGTGGTGTGTGTATTTGTGTTACAAGAAGCCAAAAGGACAACCACAATGTTTGCGGTGTTTTGACACACATCCTTGAAGTGGTGCTTTGTTTGGAAGGTTCCCTTAGAGGGAAAGCGCACACACACACACCCAACCCCCCCCCCCCCCCCAGACCCAAGTCACGGTTTAAGCCTCAACTCTTGGTTGACATGGTGAATGAGAGTCCTGTTAAGGTCCACAGTTAGTCCCGCTCAGCACTCCGGGAAGATGCAGAATTGCTCAGCCAAATGACAACATGGGCGTGGTTGCAGGGCGCCTTCTGGTTGCAGTTGTTTTTTTGGGGGGCATTATTCTGCATTTGCTCGAGCTCACCAATTTGGTAAAAGGCGCCAACACGCCGAAGTTCGGATTCTCGTTTTGAGGGCAGTGAGGGAGATCTTGGGTTGGTCAACATCGGCCTTTCGTTCGACTTTTCGTGAACTGGGTCTCAAACCCATGGCCCCAATTTGGGACAGTTTCTTTCCAAGGCTTTGATGGAGGTTCCAGGGCAGATCTGAGCAAGTTCCAGGGCAACCCCACAAGCACCCAGAAATTCTTGCGGAATCGCTGGCCCGGCTCGAAAACTGTAGCCATTTCGGCACGGGCCATCGTGCCCGAGGAGCGGTTGGAGCGAGCTTCCTGTGGTGCCTTTGTTCGAGGGTAGTGCCCTTGGTTCTGAAGACAACTTTATGTTGGTCTATTGTGAGAACCCGTGGCACGTGTCTGCATTGGGAGCCATGGGTAGTGTCCATTCGAATGTCCACAAAAGGGCACATTCCGAGCAAAAGCCAAACGCCGCGCTCAAAAGCGGAGGCGAAACGCTGAAACGCGGAGGCTTTTGCCTCTGGTCGGATTCCTTTGTGTTCCCCGGCAAAACGGAGGTGACTTTTGCCTATTGAACAGTCACCCTGAAGGTGTTTGAGCTACTGACTTTTCGAGAGAAGTCGATTCTGGGGACAAGAACTCACTTCCTGAGTTTAGGGACTTTGTTTTTCTGGTGTTTGGACCATTTTAGCGGCATACATATTTTTCGGACTTTCTTTGACCAGCCCACTCATGAGATGACTGGGGTCATTCTTTTAAGCCCTAGGGAAGGCAGAAGCTGCGGCGCCGGTTTCCTGTTCTATGAACCATTGCGGGCGACTTTTAGGTTTCAGCGGGGTCGGTGTCAGATCTGAACGATAAACCCCCATGATCCCCAAGTTGATTGGCTGGTTCCCGCTCAGGGTTGCTGAACGGGAAGCCAGCACCCCTCGCGCCCAAATGCGCATGGGCTTGGTGAGGTACCGCAAAACGGGCTTCGATCATTGGCAGAACCCATTTGTTAGGACCTATTCAACGAGGCACCTGCTTTCTGGATCCAAATCGACGAAGTTTCCGCCAGGAACTCGTTTTACAAATCCTGGGCCAGATGAGCACGAAGGAGCCGAAGTTCGATGCGTTGGTCAAATCATTGGGTTCCAAGAAACTGGCGTGGAACCCGTAAAGGGTCTTTTTAGGTTGTCATCCAAGTTGGGGGTTTTCTCTTCCAAGGCGGAGTTTCCTCGACAAATGAGGGCTTTCTGGGTTTCAGTTCATTTGCAGGGGTGTAGCGGAGATTCTGAGTGCTAGATCGCCCATACTGTTGAATTCTCATGAGGAAGGCGTGTTTGAAAAAGTAGTCCCAAAAGGGATTGATTGTGTGCGCCTGCAAAGCGTGTACTGTACTCCCTTGCATTCCCTTGCAAATCAACACGGAACGCAAGGTTTCCACCAAACAGAGATTCCTATAAGAATGGAGCCGTTTTTTTTGCGATTTATGTTCACTTGATGGGGGGTCTAGGAGAATTTCAAGGCTTTCTGGCTTTTCTGGATACTCCAACCTCGTGGATCAAATGTTGGGAGGTTTACCAGAGTCGAGCTAGACCTGCCATGCCCGCAATCCTATGCACCTCTTTCAACATGGTTGGCCTTTGTTGCAGCACACACCCTTCACGCACGCAAAGGAGCACATACAGCGCACATGCAAATGCAGCTGCTGCAGTTGCAAATGCAGATGCACATATTACATGCACATGCATACGCGAGCGCCCCTGCACTTGCACATGCGCGCATATACTTGCACATGCTCCCTTTACATCTCGCACACACAGAGATACACACCTCCTCATGTGCGCGCACACATAAACATACAAACATGCGCACACACACACACAAGTTTGCACGTTCACGCATACATACACTTACACACATGCAACAAAGTACGCAGGCACACAGGCATGCATCCATGTCAACCGTTTCGGTACCACCATTCCTATAATACAGCACGAGAAGGTCGCGGATGGCTGTGAGAGTGGATTCAGGACGTGGTGCCCATGGAAATCAACACGCCCACTGCACTCCGGCGGCACTGTGTGACCACACTTCTGCAAAGTTGCCCCCGGCCTCAAAAGAATGTCCAAAGCGCAAGGGTTGAGTATTGGCTGTGGGTCCTTTGCTTTTCCGTATCGAGGCCATTTGTTAGTCCTTGGTTGTGGTTGTTGTTGTTGTTGTTGTGGTGGTGGTGGTGGTTGTTGTTGTTGTTGTTGGTGGTGGTGGTGGTGTTGGTGTTGGTGTTGGTGTTGGTGTTGCTGTTGCTGTTGCTGTTGCTGTTGCTGTTGCTGTTGTTGTTGTTGTTGTTGTTGTTGTTGTTGTTGTTGTTGTTGTTGTTGTTGTTGTTGG